CCATCTGAGACCTCACCAAAATGGCATTTACCATTCATATTTCTACCAACATACTGTACATGACTACTTAGGTATCCCCAAAGAAAACTGAGACTTTCTCTACAGATCTCTTTTCTTTGACCTCTCATCAGAATGACCTTTAAAGGGGGAATTCCCTGGAAGTCCAGTGGTTAGGACACTGTGCTCTCATTGCCAAGGGCCTGGGTTCAATCCCTGGTCAGGGAACTAAGATCCTGCAAGCCATGCGGCCAAAAACAATAAAAAAAATAAAAATAAAAAATTACCTTTAAAGGGCTGTTCATGGCAGTATAAACTTTTCTACCATGCGCCTCCAAACTTCCCCAGTCTCTACCCATTTCCCAGATCCACAAATAGATCCCAGCTTCCACATTTTTAGGTATTTGTTAGAGCAGCACCTCCACTTCCTAGCACCAATGACCTATATTAGTCAGGGTTCTCCAGGGAAACAACCGGGAGGATATATATATTATCTATTATTTGGATTTGTTATATATGTAATATATATCCATATATAGAGATTTATATGGAGATTTATTATGAGGAATTGGCTTATGCTGTTGTGAAGGCTGAGAAGTCTCATGATCTGCTGTCTGCAAGCTGGAGACCCAGGAAAACCAGTGGTGTAATTCAGTCCAAGTCTGAATGCCTGAGAACCAGGGATGCTAATGATATAAATCCCAGTCCAAGCTGGAAAAGATGAGATGAGATGAGATGTCTCAGCTGAATCAGCAAGGTGTGAAAAACGGGATGAATTCCTCCTTCCTCTGCCTTTTGTCCTATTCAGGCCCTGAACCCACAGGACTCCAAAACTGGACTGTGGTGACGGCTGCACAACTCTGTAAATTTAGTAAAAGTTATTAAATTGTACACTTAAAATGAGTGAATTTTATGGTATAGACATTATAGTATAAAGACTAAACACACAAACGTGTGTAAACACACACACATGCATACACACACAGATACTCTCACTCCAAAGATCCCAGAACGCACACAATTTGAGCAATATTTTTTCTAAAAGTTAGGAATGGGAGAAATTTCTATTGTACAGAACAAGATACAGGCTTCCACATTGCATGTTATTTTGAAGTCTCATTGAAATGTAATTCCCTACTTGGAATCCTCTTTGTACTCACAAAGGAGGAAACAAACATGGTACAATGGTGGATATTCTGTGTAAAAAAGGGAAAGTTGTAAATGGTACCTAAGCCCAAGATTATTAATACCTGGGCGAATACTTCATTTGCTAAACACAGAAGATACTAATAACTATAACTATGTGACTATTATTCATGGTTTTGTGAACTCTGGAGTAATATAATCACACACTGTCTAAGATTTAATTATAATGACAATTATTAATAACACCATGTAGTAGTATGTATGTGCAATTCCCCTTCTGTTTTATTCAAGTTAATAAATCAGCAAAATTGTACTTAAATTTGCCTGATTCTTGGGCAACTTGCTTTTCATTTATCTACTCAATTTTTACTCTGCAGAATCTTGGTGTTTCTGTAAATCTTGCAAGTTGAGACCATCAGCTCAGTATTTTCCCCCTAAGAACAAGAATGCTGAGAATGAATAGAACGTTATATTATGCAGGTTAATGTCTGGTGGGTTTTTTAAAAATTAATTAATTTATTTGGTTACACAGGGTCTTAGTTGCAGCAGGTGGGCTCCTTAGTTGTGGCATGTGAACTCTTAGTTGTGGCATGCATGTGGGATCTAGTTCCCTGGCTGAGGATCAAACCTGGGGCCCCTGCATTGGCAGCGTGGAGTCCCAACCACTGCACCACTGGGGAAGTCCCCAATGTCTGGGTTTTTGATAGCTGTGTTTTTTGGCTCATCAGTTTAATGAAGGTGGTTTTAAAGAATGTAATGTTCTAAATAGCAAAATGAAAAGGTTGAGTAATTAAAATTTATTATTGAAATTAGTGTAGGCTTTCTCTTTGGTCACAGTAGTAGATTACTTTGAGACAAAACATTGAGATTTCTTGTGGAAAATGAATATATTTCTGTGTATTTAAAATTCCCTATTGTTTTAGACTGGATGGTTTTTGAGGAAACTTCCAGAAGAGATACTTTATGATTCTATACACATTCAACACTCATTTACATTGCCTTATCATCCTGCACACAAAGTAAATTCCTGCCTCAGGGCCTTTGCACTTGCTGATTTGCACTTGCTATTCCCTCTGTCTGATGTGTCATTCCCTAGATGGTCATGGTCCACTCCCTCACTTAAGTCCCTGATCAAATATCACTTCCTCAGAGCAGCCTTCCCTGATTAGCCCATCTAAAAATAGCACACCGTCACTATCCTTTTAGCTTGCTTTCTTTCTCTTCACAGCACTTAGCCACTGTCTGACCTTATATGCTTGGCAGGGACATCGTCAGTATTGTTCATTGCTATATCCCCAGACTTTGGCACATAATAATTGCTCAAGACATGTTTGTTGAATTAACTGAATGAATTTTAATTTGACTTTAAATATTTACCTTTTTTTGCCTCCCTAATCAGACAGTAAATTCATGGAAGGCAGCCAAAGGCCCTGGTTGCTTATTTATCTTCTCTAAAACAGTTAGCTCAGCTCTGCAAGGATGCTAAACATTCAACCAAGATTTACTGAATGAATGCCTTGAAACATGGACATGTGACACGGCTAACCAGTCAGCGTTACCTGCAGGTGAACAAGAACAGTGATGTCTTGCCTTACAGCCCACACTTTACAAACTACTTTTATGTGTATTAACTCATATGATCATTTTGGTAATACTTTAGTAGTTCTGAAGGTTTGCCTGAAGAAACAAGCATTCAAAAATAACAAATGTTAATTTCCGACGTGTACTATTGCTAATTCTGAATACTTTTTTTTTTCTTTTTTTTGGTTTAAATATCATTTAATGTGTTCTTGGACATCTGAAAAACTATTTTAAAAGACTAAGATTTAAAATAAATAAGGAAATAAGTAAAAATAAGAAAGACTGTCTTGAAACATATATATGCATGGAGAGATTTTTCAGAGTGTTTATCAAAGTCTTCATGGTAGTTATTTCTACATGGGGGGAATCTTAGTAATGTTTACTTTTTTTTGGCTTTGCATTTTTCTCACTTGAATGTTTAAAACAAATTTGAAGTCATGAAAAGAAACTTTTTTCTATACAATGCTTTATTTTTAATTTGCCAGTGTGAATAGCATAAAAATATCACTACGCATTTTCCTGGCTATGTAATTCTCAGGACATAGCAAATTTCATTCTGAGAAAACTTTTAATACTGATTTATAGTAAAGCAACAACAAACAAATAGAACGAACCAAAATTCTTTAGGGTTTTCGGTGTGTTTTCCATATTTATGCCCATGTTATTCTCCGAGCAAGAAAAAAGGTAGAGCAATCCTTCGTAATTTGTTAATTTTTCATCTTTGCCAAAAAAACCTTTCCAGGAAACTGAGCTCCCAAAATAGGCCAAAATCGGGTGTTAGGGGCTCATTCTAGACTTTGGACCAAACTTAGAGGGCACACATGAAACGTACTAACTTATTTTCCGTTTTTCTCTTGATGATTTAAAACACTTAAAATCCCTGTCTTTTCCCCACAGGAATTGGGAAGATATGCAAATAACCACTTTGTGGAAAATCTCTGCTGATGCCAACAATATGGTCCTCAAATTAGGCTTAAAAGGTTTTGGATTTTCTTTCATTCTGAACTAAGAAGGGTTTTTCATGGTTGCTGGTGCACCTTAGGGCAAGTGAAGTTTCTTTACACACTGAACACCTTGTCTGTCTCCCTGCCGGTGCGTCTGCGCGTGTTTCTGTGTGCAAGTCTGCATAAAGTCGGTTTGGGGTGTGTGACGGTGGTTTTGAGCCCATGGTTTACGCACTCTATGAAGAAGCGCGTCCAGCCCTGTAGCTGGGCACAGGTTTCTCCAGTCTCGGGGTCGTGTGGGGGGACCCTCCGCCAAGGCCTGCGGCTCCCAACCCCAGCCAGGGCGCGGCAGAGCGGGCGCAGGGAATAGTGGGATGGCCCGGCAGCCTGCGTCCAGCCAGGGTCCGGGACACATGCTCGGGTGGCGAGGGGGCGCATTTTCTCCCCTCTGGAACACTGCTTAGAGCGGAGATCTCGGGAGGGGTCGGAGAAGCCCAGGGGGTCCCGGCGCTGCAGACTGGGGGAGGGGACAGTGGGCGGGGCGGCACCTCCCACAATCCATTCCCTGCGGAGGGGGCGGCGACCTCCGTCCGGCCCCACCCAGCCTCAGGGACCGGGAAACTGGGACCGGAGGCGGCACGCGCGTCAGGGGCGCCTGGACGCCCAGGTACGTGCTACCCTCTCCCTAGCCGGCGCCGGGACGGTTGGGCCGGGCGGTTTCAGCCCCAGACACACCTTCCCGCGGCCTCTGTGACGCACCGCGCGGCCTCTGGGGCTGGACCGGCGGCGCGGCGCGCGCTGTGGGGGCGGGGCGGGGGCGGGGCGTGAGGGGCGGACCCGGCAGAGGCCCCGCCCCGGGGCCGGAGGAGCAAGGACGCTACGGAGCAGGCGCGTCCCGCCGCCGTCGCTGCCGCTGCCGCCACCGACGATCGCCCTTCTCTAGAGCCGCCGCTGCAGCCGCCATTTGCACGGGGACCCCGGTGACAGGGGCTCGGCAGAGGGGCGGAGGGAGGGGGGGGAGGGCCCGCGGAGCCCCCGAGGGCGGGAGCGACGCCGCCGGCGCCGGCCGGGCTCACAGCGCGACCGCGCCGCCCGCGGCGGGCCGGGAGCAGCAGCAGCAGCAGCAGCAGCAACAGCAGCAGCAGCAGCAGCAACAGAAACAGCAGCAGCAGCAGCCGCCGAGGCCGGGCGTGCGCCTGAGGCGCGGCGGCGGCGGCGGCGGCGGCCCTGCGGGCAGCCAGGAGGGGCGGGGGCAGCGGCCGCCGCCGTTTGATGGATCCGAGGATCGCCTGGTTCCAGCCAGAGCAGCTCGGACCGTCCAACAGTCTGTGGATGCAGATCTGGGAGACGACCCAGGGACTGAGGAACCTCTACTTCAACCACCACTGTCACAGCAGCGGCGGCGCGAGCGGCGGCGGCGGCGGCAGCAGCACGGCCACCGGCGGGAGCGGCAGCAGCACCGGCAGCCCGGGCGGCGCGGCCCCGGCCCCGGCCGGCATGTACCGTTCCGGGGAGCGCCTGCTGGGCGGCCACGCGCTGCCGACAGAGCAGCGGGACTTCCTGCCCCTGGAGACAACCAACAACAACAACCACCACCACCAGCCCGCGGCCTGGGCCCGCCGGGCTGCCGCGGGCCCCTCGGCGTCCCCGTCCCCTTTGGCGTCCTCGTCCCCGCACTCCTCGGCCGCCGTCCCCGCTGCGGAACCCGCCGACCCAGCTTCGGGCAGCAGCAACAAGAGGAAGCGCGACAATAAGGCCAGCACCTACGGACTCAACTACAGCCTGCTGCAGCCCAGCGGAGGGCGGGCCGCGGGGGGTGGCCGGGCCGACGGCAGCGGGGGCTTGTACAGCGGGACCCCGTGGAAGCGGAGGAACTACAACCAGGGAGTCGTGGGGTGAGTGGTGGCCCTGCGGCCTGGCGGCCTGGCCCTTGCACACGCGCAGCCGGGCACACGCCCACAGAAGGGGGATTGGGGGGGAGCCTGGGTGAGGCCACCCCCCTCTGCCTGCCTTCGTTACTGGTCCTCAGGGGGCTGATGGCCATCGCTCCATCCCTCCGCCATCCATACCTTCTGCCAACCTTGGTTAGCGGTCCACAGCTTTCCCCCCTCCCCCTCAGCTCCACGCCTTTTCTGGACATCCCCTCAGCTATCCACACCCTCTCCTCACCTCCCTTAGTCATCCACATCCTCCTTTTTAACCCTCCACATCTTCCCTGGACCCCCCCCCCCC